GTGGGCGTCGGCCTCGTGAGAGGCGTGCGTCTCCAGGCTGCTGCTGGACACCTGGGCCCCGTAGCTCCTGTCCCCCGGCACGTCGCTGTCCCACACCTGGTGCAGGTACTCCTCAGCCTCCTCAGGGATGGCCATCTCCTCGCCGCCGCCCTGGTAGGTGACGAGGCAGGAGCTGCGTTTGGCGGCGTCGCGGCTGCGCTCCACCGAGATGCTGCTCTCGGCGATATCGGGCTCGGCGATGTCGTCCCCGCAGCCCGTCAGCGAGTCGAAGCTCTTCAGAGAGGTGACGTCCCCCAGCATGAGGCTCAGCAAGTCCCCAGAGTGCAGGCAGGGAGGCTCACTGTCCATGAAGTCGGGGTGGAAGGCCAGCAGCAAACTCTCACGGTCAAACTCGGCGCAGGCGGCAGCCTCAGCCTCTGATTTTGTATCCGGAACGTCCCCGTTCCCCGGCACGGCCATCGTGTCACCCTCAGAGGTGCCTCCATCCGCTGCGGAGCCCGTGGGCTCGGTGGCCTCCCCACAGCCGGAGTCACCCCCTGAGTCCCCTGGGCCAGCCGTGGCCTCAGGGACTGGCCCTGGTTCCCTGCCCTCCACGGCCCCTCGGCTCTCCACTGCCACTCCAGGAGCATTCCCAGCCTCCTCCGTGTCCCCATTCCACTCGGGGAGCTCTGCCTTCTCACTCTCGGCAGCCTTGCTCTTCCGGTGGCGCCGGATGCTGTTGAAAAACCCTTTCAGCCCTTTCTTGGGTCTAGGGACAGAGGATTTCTCCCCGCTGGGCTTTTTGTCACACCCCTCGATACTCCCGGGGGGAGAGCCGTCCTGCTGGCCCAAATCCCCCCTGGCGCTGGTGTCCACGGCCAGCTGGGCGCTGCGGGAGCCGGGCAGGGGGCCGGGCTGCCCATCCCTGCCGCCCTCCGAGGGGCTGTCCGGCCGTGCGGCACCGCCCCTGTCACAGGCAGCGCCGCTCAGCCCGTCGTGGGTCTTGCACTTGCTGAGCCCCTTCTTGCCGCGGCCGCCGAAGAAGCTGGGCAGGGTGCAGATGCTCCGCTTGGCCCCGAACAGCTTGAAGGCCGTTTTCCTCAGCTTGCCGGGGGGCGGCTGCTGCGGCTCCGCTGCCGCCACGGAGCCGTCGGCGCTGTCGGGAGGGGCGTCCCCGCCCTCCTGCCGCCGCCGGTCCCCTCCGTCCCGCTCCTCCGGGCTGCCCGTTTCCATGGCAGCGGGCGGCCTTGGATCTAGCTGGAAGCGGCTTTGGGAGCGCGGCGCTCGGGGCGCAGGGATGGACACATCACCGCCGACCTGAGGCACAGGGAGAGGGCACAGGTGAGGACACGGCAGCGGAAGGGGCAGAGCTGAAGGCACCGGGGTCTCAGGGTGAGAGATCTCCCACCACTTCCAAAATCCAGGCACCAAAATGTTGCTTAAATGTACCAGTTCACCAGAGCAGGAAAACCACACATCTCCCTTGGCTAAAATCCCTAGGGACAGGCAGGTCTGACCCCTGCACCTCCTCGCTCCAAGCCCTGCAGCTTCCCAGATTTTTTGTCTCACCTCAAAGTGAGAGCTAGCACCTCCCAACCCCCTCCCAGCTCTCCCAGGCCTCATGCCAGGCTCCAAAGAGCATCCTGAGGGAGGCCAAACCAGGACACAGTCCTCCCTACACACGTGTCCGGGAAAAAACCACTTTGCTTACTAACCTGGCTTTTTTTAATAGAAGATTTCAGTTGTTTTTAAAATGATCTGTGCAGCCAGAGAGAATCGCCTTAAAAACACCCACTGTGAACCCCCGATCAGATTATCCCAGAAGCAGAGAGGTAGGTTTGGAATTTGAGCCTGGATTGCTGTCAGGAACAGCAGAAATAAAACAATAACAATCAAGTTTCTTTTGCAGAGGTGAGGGTGGACAAATTAAATGCAATAAAATCCTAATGTGCTCCCAAGCTGCAATGCCCCAGGCTGAGCTCTGACTGACAGGAGGCCAAGGAAACCTTCCCGAGGTGTTTAGCCAGAGATCCCAAATTGAAAATACATCCAAACGATGCTCTTTGCTCCTACAGCCCCACAGCAAATTCCTGCAACTCCAGGTTTAATTTTATTCCTCAGGTCTGGGTTGCTTTGCCTCTATATTGATCTGGCATCGCTGCCCTCAGCACGGCTGGAACTGGATGGGCTTTAAGGTCCCTCCCAACCCATTCCATGATTCTGGAATTCTGGGATTGCTGATTACCCTCACGTTCACCTGTCCCACTGGAAGCAGCAGCTGGGGCGTAGCCGGCTGGCACAGCCACCTCCCCAGCGGCAAGCTGGGCTCTTCCAGCTCTGCCAGAGCCCACCGCGAGTCCCAGGAGCCTCCAAAGCCTCTGGAGAGACCGGGACAGAGGGGCCTGGGAGAAACGCCCGCTCCTGGACGCGTGCGGGGCTGCTGGAAAATGGGGTGAAATGAGCCCAAACCTGCACCGGGACAGGGGCTGGAAAGCCGCCGGGGAAGGGCATGAGACAGAGCCAGCGTTACAAAAATTCCTTTTGGGAATCATTCCTGTCCAGCTCCACGTCAGCACCGCGGCACGGCTGCGGAGGGGAGGCTGGAGTAGGATAAAAAATGAAATAAATAAAAACGAAAGAAAGGGAAATAAAGGGCACCGAGGGCAAAGAGCCGCGACCAACAGATCATGAAAAATAAGGTTTAAAAGCCAACAAAAAGCAGCACCGTAACAATGAAATGCGGCGTTTCGCCCGCAGAGGGGACCCTCGGGGACCCCGGGCCCGCCCAGCCCCGCACGGGGCCGCTCCCCCAGGCCGGCCCTCCCCGCTCCCCCCGCCGCGCTCCCAAACTTTCGGGAGGATCCGAGGGGCGGGGCGCGGTGATTGACGGGGCGGCGGCAGGGGGGCGGGGCCTCTGCGCGAGGGCGGGAGCGGTCTCCACATCGCGCCCAAAGTAACGGGGCGGGGTCACGGTGGCGGGGCGGGGCGGCTGGGCGCGGTCCCCCGGTGTCCCCTCATGGCCGTCCCCCGGTGTCTCAGGGCCGCCACCACCGGGGGCGTCCCGGTGGCGGGGTGGGCGTGGCCTCAGGGCGGGTCCCCATGCTGGGACGCGGCGTCGTTGGCGAGTATGATTGACAAGGGGGCGTGGTCATCCCTGTTAAGGGGCGTGGTCTCGCACGGGGCGTGGCCTTGGCGCGACACCCGCGGGGCACGCGGGGTCACGGACACGGGGTGGGGGATGACATGTCCTGTCCTGTCCTGGTCTGTGACACCGGGGGGGTCAGGGATGTGACAGTGTGTGACACCGGGGGGCTCAGGGATGTGACAGTGTGTGACACCGGGGGGCTCGGGGTCAGGGATGTGACGGTGTGTGACACCGGGGGGGCGGTGACACGGCGTGTTCACCGTGGGACACCTCCCTGCGCATGCTGTGTGACCCACGGACATGTCACCCGCGCCACCGCACTTCCAGGCACCCAGTGCCACACACCTGCTCACACCCACAGTCCCACAGCACTGAGCAGCCCGGCAGGAAAGACCCCTCCCCATTTTTGGAACCCCCAAATCCCGAAAGCCCCTCACATCTCCACGTGAGGATGACAGCAAGGATGCCACGAGTGGGAATGACAGCCGGGAGTGGCAGTGTCCCCGCGGGACAGCCTCTCCCAGCCCCCATCTCCTGGTGCGCTCCTGCAGGTGGCTGGGAGGGGACAGAAGTGGCAGCAGTGTCATCATTCCCTATGGAGCCTTGTCCAGGCTGCTTCCAAGCCCTAATGCTCCCCTTGGGTGAGGCCCTATAGCCTAATTAATAGATGCTGATTAATAGATCCCACAGCCCCTGACAAGCCCATAAATCCTGCAGGGAGGTGCCTGTGTCTGGCCCAGAGCCACCCTTGGAGCTCTGAGCCCTGGGAGCACTTCCCTTTGGGATGCCACAGGGCAGGAGGGAATGAACCATGGGACACCTTCTGCCGCATCCCAAAAGCAGTGTAGAACATCCAGAGCACCACTGCTGGGTGGGCACTCAGCTGCCAAGGAGCACAGGGATTTATCCATCAGCTCCTGGCTGTGGGAAGAGCCAGGAGGGCACCTCCAGCCCCACTGGTGAGGGCAATCCCCGTGCCCAAGGCAGGAGGGATGGAGGGACACAAAGGTGGTGCTGGGATGTCCCACTCCAGCCTGGAATTCCCTGTGTGCAGCCATTCCCTCATCCCTGCCCAGCCATCCCGACATGGGGTATTTCACCGGACAGGCCACAGCAGTTTCATACCAATAACAGAACACCTTTAATCCAAACCCCAGCCCTGCCCAATCACAAAAGACCCTCAGCCACAACAGGAAGCACTTTTGAGGTGAGAAGATGATGTTTAGGGTCAGAGCTGGGGCAGGGAGAGCAGTGGGGATGCTGGGACTCTCCCAGCCCCTCCTGTGCTGCCAGCTGGGAGCACTGGGCTCTGCCCCCACTGGTGTGGGCACACACAGCCAGGACCAGCCCCAATCCTGCCCCTCCCAAAGGGAGAAGGTACTTGGGAACTTCTCTGGGAATCGTGGAATCATGAGGGACCTCAAAGCCCACCCAGTGCCACCCCTGCCATGGCAGGGACACCTTCCTCTGTGCCAGGCTGCTCCCAGACCCATCCAGCCTGGCCTTGGGCACTGCCAGGGATCCAGGGGCAGCCCCAGCTGCTCTGGGCACCCTGTGCCAGGGCCTGCCCACCCTCACAGGGAACAATTCCCATCCTCACAGCCAAGAATTCCTCCACACTCTTTCCCAGCCCCTTCTCCAACCAAGATCAGCTAAAGGTGTAAAATCCCTCAGTACAGATGGTCTGAGGCAAACCCAGGGGAACCAGATCCTGCTCTATCCTCACTTTGCTGCAAACAGGAGCTGAGGTCTCCTGTTCTCTCTCCCCCATCCCACCTTTCCACATGGGCACGGCTTTCTGGAGACACCTCGGCAGCAAAAATGAACTTGTGACCACAAATTCCCAGGGCTTCCACAGATTTCAGGGATTCACTCCTGGGGTGGGGCAGCTTTTAATTGGGGTGCTCAGAGGGGTGTCCCTGGGGCAGGCTGGGATCACGGCTGGTGCTGCAGGTATTTGGCCAGGGCTGTGGGGATCTCCAGCTCTCCGAGGGTGGCCAAGCGCCCGGGCTGCTTCAGGAGACGCCTCATGGCCAGCCGGGATTGGGACAGCAGGGATTTGGGATGAGCTGTGGAAGGAAAATCACATGGTCACCTTCAAGACACACAACCCTGCTGCCCTCCAACCCGGCATTATCAGTGGAAAGGGACATGGACTGAGCAAACCGAACAGCGTTGGGACAAAATTATCTTTAGGTTCCTTCCACCCAAATCATTCCACGATCCTATGAAAATTCCATGATTCTATGGAAACTCAATCTTTGTGCTGGGGCTATGGACTCTGGCACAAGCCCCCGTGGAAGCTGGGAATGGAGAAGAAATGTCCCATCCCCACATGGAAATAAGGCAGGATTTGAGACTTGAGTGGTACAGGAGAGCCCAAAGTGAGCAGCAGAAAGGAGAGCAAGGGTGAAAAGCAGGGGGTAACCCCACAAGTGAGGGGAAAGCCAGGCTGTGGGAATCATGGAACCACAGAAGGGTTTAGCTTGGGAAGGGAATTTAAGCTCATCTCGTTCCATGGGCAGGGACACCTTCCCCTATCCCAGGCTGCTCCAAGCCCCATCCAACCTGGCCCTGGACGCTGCCAGGGATCCAGGGGCAGCCACAGACCCACACGGCCAAGTGACGCTGCGAGGGGAACCAGACTGAAGGAAAACCCGGGTGCGGCCGTTGGGAGGAGGGAATGGAGCGGAGCCAAGCCCGTCCCAGCCCCGGGCACAGCCGGCTCACCTCTGGCCTGCAGCAGCAGCTCCAGCCCCTCGCCGCGCGGCGCCGCCCCGCCGGCGGGCACGGCGGGCAGGTACACGTTGGCCCCGAAGTCGATGAGCAGGCGGATGAAGTCGCTGCGGCAGCCGTGCCTCAGGCACGTCTCCAGCAGGGTCTTGGGCTCGCGGATCTGCGCCAGGACGCTCTGCTCGGTGCAGTTGTAGTCGGGGTCGGCGCCGTGCAGCAGCAGCAGGCGGAAGCACTCCAGGTGTCCGTAGGCGGCCGCCAGGTACAGCGGGCCCGAGCAGGCCACCGAGTTGGCCGCCCACTCGGGCAGCCGGGCCCGCACGTTGGCCTCGGCGCCGTGCTCCAGCAGCTGCCGCACGATGGCCGCGTGGCCGTCCCTGGCGGCCAGCAGCAGCGGCGAGCAGTTGTTGTAGGCGCTGCCCGCGGGGCTGGCGCCGGCCTCCAGCAGCAGCCGCACGCACTCGCCGTGCCCGTTGCTGACCGCCACGAAGAGCGGGGTCTGCGCCTTCACGTCCAGGCTGTCCACCTGGGCGCCGTGCGCCAGCAGCAGCCGCAGGCTCCGCACGCAGCCCCGGCCGGCCGCCAGGCGCAGCGGGGTGCTGGGCACGCCCCAGCCGCTCCGCCGGTTGATCAGCCTCCTGTACCTGTCCTGGGACAGCAGCCTGGCCAGCGTTTCGTGGTCGTCCTGGCACACCGCCCGGCTCAGCTCCTCGCTCTCCCCGCTGTCCTCCTCGTCATCCCTGGGCTGCAGCAGGGAGAACATCTTGTTGATGTCCATCAGGCTCATTTTGTCGGGTCTGGGCTCCATGTGCCGCTGTCATGGTAAAGGATGAGGCCGAAGATCTACAGGATGGCAGAAGCGGCACCAGCCCCGAGTTAGAACCAGTCCCTGACACCGACAGCTGCATTTTAGTGCAACTTTATACTCAACAAAAGGAAGATTCCCCAAAACATGGATCAGCATTGGAGGAGGATGATGCTGATGTGCTCATGGCCCTGGCACCGTGTGAGGAAATCCACGTGGGTGAAACACTGAGGGAACAACGGAGCTCAGTGCTGTAGTGGGTACATGGATCAGGATCCCATAAAATCATGGAATGGTTTGGGTGGAAAGGGACCTTAAAGCCCACCCCTGCCACGGCAGGGACACCTTCCCCTCTCCCAGGCTGCTCCAGCCCCAGTGTCCAGCCTGGCCTTGGGCACTGCCAGGATCCAGGGGCAGCCCCAGCTGCTCTGGGCACCCTGTGCCAGGGCTGCCCACCCTCCAGGGACCAATTCCTGCCCAATATCCATCCATCCCTGCCCTCTGACAGTGGGAGCCATTCCCTGTGTCCTGTTCCTCCACCCCTTGTCCCCAGTCCTGAGGGATGAGGTGAATGTGAAGTAGTCAGTTTGATTGGGATCAAACATCTTCCAGCATCTCCCTTCCCAAATGATGCCAGCATTCGAATCCCATCGTTTTCCTCCCTCCTGCCTACTGGAGCCCGATGATCACGGCTGCAGAGGGGTCTGGGATGTTTCTGCTGAGGGATTTGGGGGAGGAAGGGTGGAAGTGCTGAGCTGATCACACCCCGTGGCAGTGAACCCTGGCAGCTCCGCTGGGCTCTGGACACAGGATGTGGCCTCAGGAGCCGAGGGACAGCAGGGGACAGGAATGGGATGTCCCGGCTGGCACCTGAGAGCTGGAAACGCTCGGGATGGGCAGAGGAATGTCTCGGCAGCCCTTGGGGCAGCTCGGGAGCGGCAGCAGAGGCAGAGCCGGGGCTGAGCTGTCCTGGGAGGAGCCAGGGAGCTGCACGGGGCAATTAATTAGCGAAGGAGCTGCAGCAAACAGTTAATTATCTCATAAGCAAAAGGAGCAATTGGCCTCGTTGTGCACCTGAGCCCTTTGGTGCCGGGGCCGTCACAGGGACCTGTCCCACACGGGGACATGGCCACCAGCTCAGGGGGACCCCAGCAAGGCCACCAGCACAGCTGGGGACACTGGGACAAGTCTGATGGCAGCAGCAGCAAAGCTCTGCTGGGCTGCCACCTGTTAGCTCAATTTATACAGAAATGTGGAAAATTCCAACACTGCTGCTCTTCATTGCACATGCTGGTGATGAGCTCTGGAGTTTTGGGATCACCCCACCCTCATGGGCTGGGGGTTACTGCAGGTGTGAGTCAAAAAAGACAGTTGTGCTCCCAGTTAGATTCCCAAGGGAGATGGTGTGGAAAAGAGCAGCTGTAACATTTCCTGAACAAACAAGCAACACCTCCAAAGGGAGGCTCCTTGGGCTGCCTGAGAGATTCTGTGGGGAGCTGAGGGAGGCTCCTCAGCCAGGAGAGCCCAAACCAAGATTTGTGGAATCACAAATGGTTTGGTTTTGAAAGGAACTTAAAAGTTCATCTCATCCCACCCCTGCTCTGGGCAGGGACACCTTCCCCTGTCCCAGGCTGTTCCCAGCTCCAGTGTCCAGCCTGGCCTTGGGCACTGCCAGGATCCAGGGGCAGCCACAGCTGCTCTGGGCACCCTGTGCCAGGGCTGCCCACCCTCACTGTTCTGTCACCCCCTGAGCTGGCAGAAGCTGTGCAAGCACCTCAGACCCCCAAAAGAGGTTGTGACAGAGCACACATTTGTCCCTCTGGGTCCCAGTTCCCCCTCACCCTAGCAGGTCCCAGTGCTGCCTTACCTGGGTGTGGGGGATGCTCAGAGCCCCTGAGGCCAGGGGGGTGCCATGGGGAGTCCTGCCGTGGTTTAAGCCCAAATGGGCAGAGCAGGAGAGGCTCTGGCAGGGCTGGGATGACGGGGCTGTGTGCAGCTCACAGCTGAAATGCCACGGCAGGACCGGCCCGGGGCTAATTTTAGCCCCTCTGGGGTTTTATCTTACCACTTCCATTCTTGGAAAGCTCCCCCTGGGTAAATATAGAGAGGGCAGCGTGGTGGGGGGAGGCTGGGACAGGTGCTGGAGGCTGCTCGACCCCTCTGAGCACACACAAAGCTTTTTCTCTGTTGTTTCCCCACAGAAATCGCAGGGAACAGGGCGGTTTGGGGTCCCTGCCAGGGCAGCACCAGCCTCTACCTCACCTTGGCTGTTGCCAGGTGCTCCAATTCCCTCTCGACCCCGCTCCTGCCCTCCCTCCCCCTCTTCAGAGTGATACAAATGGCCATTTGTAACCTCCAAAATGATGTATTAAACACCAGAAGGACAACAGGTCCTGAAGATGGTTCAGATTTCCCACCTGAGCTGCTCTGGGCTGCACCTGCCAGAGGGAACCACAGCCAGGGTTCCTGAAGCTGAACAGGACCCAGGAAGGCAGGAAACCTCTCAGGGCAAACAAAAGGAGGGGGGAGCAGCACTGGGGCTCTTATCAAAACCTGTCAGCTGGGAAGTGCAATCCTATTTTATCCAGCTCCCTTTAAACCCTCTCCAAACTCAACAATGGAGCAGGAACAGGCTGGGGGTTTGGGGCAGCCTTATCGTGGCATGAGATAATGAGAGAGACCCAAATTACCCAGCAGGAAAATCCCCACTGCTGCAAGGAGTGGAATCAGGGTGCTCTGTGAAGTGAGTGATCTGTGCCACCACCCCATTCCTGCTTTGGAGCCTCCCCCTGGAAAGCAGGAAAATGGTCAGCATTCATTTGCTTTAGGCTTTTGGTTTCCCGCTCTAAATTCACTCCAAAATAGATTATTGCTTCACAAAGGTCAATTCCCCAAAGCCAGCAGCAGGAATGGAATTATGGAGTGTGATGTGGATGAACCCTGGAGCAGGAGAGGGGAGTCTGGGGTTATTTTTCCTGAGTGTCAAGAAGATGCAACCACAACGGGGATGCTGCAGCCACAAAAGCCAAGGCTGGCTGGAAACCCCTTCCACACACCACAGAAATCAAAGCAGCCATTAAAAAGACAGATTGTTATAAAGGAAAAAAAGGGAATGCAGACAACAGAAGTGCTAGAAAATGTAACATGTAGGGAACTTGGAGATGAAAGGAAAATCCTTGAATGGCAAATTAGTGATAAACTGCTTATTCTTTTGTTGCTGCTGCTGTTTAGTTGTTAACCAAGTGAGATCTTAGGAACAAGGAGCAGATTAAACCCAGTTCTAACGAGGCAAACCCGAGAGCCCCCAGCCCAGCTGGAATTCCACCCAGACACACTCCAGGAGCAGGAACCTTTCCATCCATCCTGGGGGATATTCCCAGCAGCAGAGCCAGCCTGACCCCAGCAGGAGCCCAGGCAGGGGTGACAGACCAGCCTGGCCCATTTGGGATGCTCCAAACTCCAGGGAAGGACAAGGATTGGGGAAAGCTTCCACTTCTGCCTGAGCTCAGGGCCTCACCTGGCCTCTGCTCCAGGCAAAGCAGCTCTTGATCAGCTCCCTGGTAATTGGGGAAGAATTAGAGGGCAGAAGGGTGCTGAGTGCCAGTCAGTGGGTTTTTTGGGAAGGTAAATCCTGTCCAGAGTTGCTCCCATTAAAGAGATTATTGTTATTAACGCAGCTGAAGAGAGCTAATGAGCTTGTGGATTTAGCAGGGCTAAGCAGTTAAAAGTTTAGAGCTAAACAGTCCCAAATAAATGATTTTGCAGGGATTAGGGATTTACTAACAGTGCTCAAGGTTGGGAAAGCAGAGCTGGGGATGGAGCTGCTGTGTCTCCTGCCTTTGGGCTGGGAGTCACTTCCAGAGCACAGCTCTGGGCTCTGAAATCTTCCTCTGTGCCCTCAGCTCTGCTCCCAGCATCCCAAACCTCAGCCCTGGGCTTCTCCTGGTGAGCTGTGACCCAGGTGTTACCCAGGTGTTACCCAGGAATTACCCAGGTGTTACCCAGGAATTACCCAGGTGTTACCCAGGAGAGGGCAAGGACAGCATCCCCTGGCTGCACTGCACATCCCTGCCAGGGCCCTGCTGCTGGAAATTCCCGATTTATTTGGTGCATCTACACACAAAATACAGAGTTAGAAAGGAAGGAGGAATCTAGCAATGCTTCTCCTCCATGAGTCATTCCTTGAGGAATTTTGGCAGCACTGGAGCTCCAGGAGTTCATCTCTTTACTTCCACTGCACCTTCCCTTTTAGAAAACAGGATAAAAGGATGGTTTGGGTTGGGAGGAACCTTAAAATCCATCCCATTCCAGCCTGCCATGGCAGGGACACCTCCCACAGTCCCAGGCTGCTCCAAAGCCTGTCCAGCCTGGCCTTGGGCACTGCCAGGGATCCAGGGGCAGCCACAGCTGTCCAGCCCAGAGCCCCCTGCTCCATCCATGGGGGGTTTTGGTTATTTATAGATTTTTATTGATTCCCATTCACACTGGATCCCTTCCCTCTCTCCCACAGCTCCAAGACCTGCTGTTGAGAGAGAGGTTTTGTATCCCACTCCCATACCCTCCACTCCTCCAAAGGAAGGATTCCAGGAGAGCACTGGAATCCATGAGCTGTTTGCAGCTCAAAGAAACTCCAATTACCACACCTTTTGTCCAAATTTCCCCCAAATTAAATTGCAGCTTTATCAATTCTAGCCAGTGTTAATGCTAATAATCCAATTAAATGCAAAGCTAGTCTAATTAAGGTAAATGAAGGATTTCACTGGCAGCATTAAGAACATTTAAAATTAGCAAGAAGGAGAAAAGCCTGAGAAACACTCAGGGACTGAGTGTACTCCAGTGCCAGGCCCTTAAAACATAGAAAATACCCATTTTTGAGGTGGAAAATATTTATCAGGGGCTGGCTGATGGGTCTGGAGTCTGTTCCCAGGTTCCCAGGGAAGTTTTGTACCTGGAATCTCCCTCTTGAGCATCTTCCCATCTCACTGAGTTTTGTCTGCACTCCAGTCTTTAACACCTCGCTACCCATGACTAAAAAGAATGGGATAAAAGAGCATTTTTCCAGGATACCATCAGCAGCTGGACTGTGGGTTCTTCACTCTGAAGCCATCAGAAAACATGTCTTCACTGGACCCATAAGCTGGGAGTCAGCTCCTTCCAGAAGCTCTGGCTGCTCCTCAGAAAGCTGTGGAAGTCAGCCTGGAGACACCTGTGGCCAGGTAAACGAGGGACAGACAGCTCTCCAGGAGCAAGGAAACACTGAGGAGACACTTGGGTTTAACATAGAAATGAAAATTTAAATTAAAAAAAAACCCAGAATAGCACAATCTGCAGAAGACACCGTGCCATTGGTTATGTTCCCTGTTTTCCATTAGTTATGTTCCTTTTTGGGTTGTTTTTAACACCCTGCACCCCCCGTTCCCCAAACCAGGGGGATCACCCCATTTCTGTTCTGTAGAGGGGAAGTGCTCCACACTCACTTTGTTAATTAAGATCCTTTAACTGACTCCATTTTCCAAGTGTGGTGTTCTGGGTTACCAGCCAATAAACAGAGCAGTCACTTCCTTTAAAAAGGCCAAGTGTTTATTTTATTTTTAGGGAATAAAAATACCTGCAATCCAAGAGAGACTCCATGGGACAAACAGAGAGAAAAGACACAATTCTTCTCTAGACAAGATCAGCTTCAAGCAGTGCAGGAACGGAAGAGCCCCACAGAGCCCTCGGGGCACAAACTGGGACTTACCCCCACAACTGTCCCTCAGCAGTGACACAGACACAAACAGCAACAGGGACATTCCCAGCCAGCACTACAGGGTTTCAGGGACATTCCTAAAAGGATCAGCTTGGGGATGCCAAGGAAAATCCAGCCAGAGGATGGGATCCAGTGCTGAGTTACTCCAGTAGTTTCTGCTACATTCAATAGATGGAAATATAGAAATGATATAAAAACAACCCCTTGGTCCTGCCCTGTCCCTGCAGCTCCCAGGGGGTCACGTTAATTAATGTCATTAGCAAACCTGCCCTAACGAATGGCCCTGGTCCCAAGCACAGGCTTTACCATCCCCTGCTTCCTCAGCTAATTAATCAAGTGCTGGGTGGTAATTAAACACAAATAGGACATGCAGAGCAGGTTTTCCCCAGGGAATGCCTGGATGTGCATGAGGGAAGGATGGAAACCAGGAATAGCTGGGAGAGGTCCCTCTAAAAACAACCCCAGCCCTCAGCACAGAGCAGAGGGGGTGGGAGGAGAGGAAAACCCCTCTGGAATGCTCCTGGTCCTTCCTGGGTACCCAGCACTGCATCCTGCCAGCAAATTCCCCTGGGCTCTGTGGCTGCACAAGACCAGGTCAGCAAGGAGCTGAAGGAGCCTGGAACAGGAGCTCTTCCCTTTCCAAGGTTTTTCCTGGGGCTGCCTCAGCTTTGGGAGCACCTCTGGGGGCTCTCTGCTCCCAGAAACGATGGAAACAACACCACAGGGCTGCTCCACACCAGCATTCCCACCTGGAGATCCTGTGGTGCTCTGGGCACCTTCAGCTCCTGCCAAATCCCACTCTGTAGGACTGGGGAAGCTTCCTGAAGCTTCCCAGCTCCCTCCAAGCCCATCTCCTCCATCCCAGCCAGGATGGCTCTGCATCAGAGCAGGTGGATTTTTATTCCAAGGAATTAACTTGGAAAGGCAATCACTAAGCACAAGAACAGACCAAGACCTAAAAGCTTTTACAAACTGCTTTTCCTCACCCCTAAAGAGGCCATGGAGAACTAAAACTATGGACAACCCAATTATTCCCACTTTTTCCCTGCAGAGCAAACAGCACCAATTGGATTTTCTCTCCCACAGGTGACAACAGCAAAAGAAAACCCCAATTTAAGAATCCACAGAACAAAGTTCACATTTAAGACATTTCAAGTGAAGCTCCACGAGTCCCTCTTGTGCTTCAGAGTAGGAGTTTTAACACAGAGTATGACAGGCCACTACAAGGTTACACCTGCCTGTAGCACAGGAGACACTGGGAAAAGGCAGGAAGCCACGGAATGTCCTGGAGAAACCATGGAATGTCCTGGAGAAACCATGGAATGTCCTGGTGAGGCAGGAGCAGCTCCAGAAAAGGGAGAGTTTTACCCAAGCAGAGCCCATCTGCAGCAAATCAGATCCCTCTTCCCTCCCAGCTCTCTCAGTGACAGGAATCCAAATGCACTGTTCCAAATAAAAGCAGGATTTCTGACCTCACAAAGCATGGCTGCTTCCCCAGGAATCAACCAGTTGCAGGAACTTTCCCCAGCAGCAGCAGCAGATTCCCAACAGCAGTAACAGCTCCTCCATTCCTCCCACACTTCCAGAGAGCAGAGGATGCTCCAGGAGCAGGGAACACAGCTTTCCTGGACAGCAGAGGATGCTCCAGAGGCAGGGAACACAGCTTTCCTGGGCAGCAGAGGATGCTCAAGGATGCTCCAGGGGGAGGGAACACAGCTTTCCTGGGCAAAGGATGCTCCAGAGGCAGGGAACACAGCTTTCCTGGGCAGCAGATCCCAGCTGAGCTCAGGACACTGCAGGGCTTTGAGCAGCTCCTCACTTCTGCTCTGCAAACAGCCCAGAGCTGCCACCAAAAACAAAAAAGCTTCTCCTTCACTGGTTTTCAAACCATGGGCTTGTGGAAAAAGAGGAAACCCTGGAATCTTTTCCAGCTCCTAAGTTCCAGCATCAGCATGAAAGGCTCTTAACACACTGTAGCCTTTGCCTGAGGCTGCACACACGAAATCCAAGAGGTTTAAAAGACATTAATTTTTGGGTTTGGCTCTGTTTTGCCACTGGAGTTAAAAGCAGCAAGATTACTCCAAGCTTACAACACTGAGTAACCTGGTGGTGGTTGTACACACGTGTAGTAACACTGGAGTTTTGTGGAGACAACATTTTTAGGAAGGAAAGATTATTCAACTCCTCCAATGGCAATTCCAAAGGCAAAGCACCATACAAACGTTTCCAGGAGCCTTCTGCAAGCTGGATTTGTACAATAATTATCCAATGGCACCTTTAGGTCCTTCAGTAGTCAATCAAAACCCTCTCCAGTTTTGGATCTCTAATGAAAATTAGAGAATTTATTAAAAATATCCAAAGAACTGATGATCCATAGAGTAACTGGTTCTAAAAAGTGCCTGTCTTGGCTTCATGTTCCATTGTCTCTCAGATTTGGGGATGGATGTTGCCCATTACCCCCTGGAAAGAAAAGACAGGGCTGATCCATCAGTCACACCTGGGTCAGCATTTCCAGTGTTTCATTTTTCATCAATCACTCTTATAGTTCCCACCCTTTCCTTGACAACAACTTCATTTCAGTCTGACAAACCCTCAATACTAAAAAACTTCCTCTTTGGTATTCCAGGTAATGGAGAAACTCTGTGCTCTCTTTTTCTCTGGATCTTTCATGTGCTTTATAAAATAAGTATTTTCTTACCCAGAACAGCCACTCAGGGAGGTTTGGGTTGGGTTTTGGACACTGGATCTACCCAGTGATTTCACCGTGGGTTGAAAGCACAGGAGCAGAGTTATTGCACTTTCTGGTGTTGCAGTGGAATGTTTCTGCTTTCACTGGAGATTGGGAAGGCTCAAATATTTTCAGTTGGCTTCCAAACTTTTTTATAAAAGAGAAAATCTGATTTGAAAACTTAATGGCAGCACCTAATTGAAACAACAGCTTGAGAAGAGAGCAGAGCAGCATCCTGAACAAAGCTGCACAGGGGATTCTGTGCAATTCAGCACAGAACAAGGACAGTGGCACAGCTCCTGGGGAGGGGAATCCTCTAAGTCCCCAAGGCCTCACCACGATCTCAGAAATGTCCTCAGCCCTTGACCTTGATAAGCAGCACCTTGAGCTTATCAGGAACACTGGCTGCTCCCAGGGCTGGAGTACAAACTCCTGGGTTTAGCTACCAGCCCTGGAATCTGATTTTTCTTGCCTGAAGAACAAGCCAAGTGGAACATTTTTGTTATTGACATTTCAAAGGAAGATATTGACCCAAATTGCATCCAGGCTGGAAAGTGACTCTGATAAAAGCAACTCTCTATAAAAAGGGAAAACTCGTGGGGAATTTTTCCCAGGGATACACCTGGACCTGGTCCTTGGGGCTGTGCCAGAGCCAAAGCACTGGGAATGCTGCTCTCCTGGATTATGGAGTACTTTGGATTTGTGAGCTCAGCCTCTAAGGGAGCTCCTGTTGTGCTTACAGGGAATTCTACACAAACCCCTTGTTCAATTCCTTACCTGCTGATTCTCTGCTGTTGAGTTCAAGTGCTGCTACTGATTCTCTGATTCCAGGAAAACTTTAGGCCTGAATTGTTGATAATTCCAGGGCTCAGTCAGGGAGGCTGCTCCACTCTGAACCCTGTGACTCAACAGGAGAATGTCCCTCATTCCCTTTCATCCTGACCCTTTTCCATCCCCAGCCTCCACGCTGATGATTTTACTTTTAGATTGCTTGATTTTCTATTTTAGTTTTTCTCTGTGTGCTTTAACCATGTAATAAGTAAGAGAGTGAACCTTGCAAATGAATTTGGTCACACCTTTTTATATCAAACCTGCTTTTGCTGATGCCCCTCCCAACGATTTTTGGGTGACCTTCAAGCACTCATTTGTGACACCCAATCCCTGGGAGAGAAGTCCTTGTTTCTTCTGTTTCTTCCCAAGTTCATTGCCACGAGAGATACTGTTCATGAGGCAGACAAAACATCCCTAAAGTTCCTGGAATCTGAACATTGCCTAGAATCACTCAGCAAGTGATTTTATCATTTCAGGCCCCATTTCAGTACCAGAACACAGCCCCATCTGTAACTGCTGTCTCATCAATGATTCCAGCTTGGAACAGTTAGTCTCTAGCTTCAGTTTAACCAACATCACAAAATAAGAGAGAAAAATTCCACATAAATGTTCTGCTGTCTTTCCTCATTTCCAATCCTCCCTCTTATCACAAATCCATGTGTTGTGGGCTGGCTCTGCACTCCCATCAATAAAGGAGGTCCATAAAAGCTGGCTCTTCAAGAGGTCAGCTTGGAAAAAGCTGCTGAACTCGGGGGAACAGCAAAAACCCTGGAGAAGCTGCAGCAGAAGAAAACCTCTCACAAACACCGACTACAGACAGGACCAACAGCACCCTGCAAACTCCAGCACAAAACCTGCAGTGGCCTGGCTGGACACAGACACAGTCCCAGAGAAGGCACAGGGTTTGGTTTTGTGTAACAAATATGCATAGGAAACAAAACATGAATCAGTTCTGGTACAAGGCAGGGGTCCATGCAGAGACTCATTCACAGCTAAGAGAGGTTGGGGGAGTTTTTGTCATTTGAAGACGGACTAAAATTTTTTCTTGTTTTAAGATGACCTTGGACCACCACTGAGAACAGAGGGATTTGCATCCTTCCTCCTGCAGTTACTGCCCAGCTCCTCATGGAACTGGCAAGGTTTCTTCCAGCATCAAACAGCAGAGCTGGCAGGCAGCCCTAACCCTCAGAAATGCACGTGTTGCCACTGAAAGCCAAGTTCCCAGGAATGCCAGGCAGGCTCCTGGCAGCTCTGCATCACCTGAGCTGCAGGAGGTGCCCCCCAGCAGCTGCTCCCCCAGCCCTGCACACCCCTACTCACACTCAGCTGCAAGTGGGGGCTGCAGCAGCTCCCCAGAGCTTCTCCCAGCAGCTCCCAGAGCTCATCCCTGGTGCTGAGCCTGCCCATCCTCCCCGGAGGCTCCGAGATCCTGGGGCTGGGCTGGGCTCTCCTTGTGCTTCTGGTGCCCCAGGGAGGGGCCATTGCTCAGCACTGGGGCTGCTCCCTCTGCACAGTCCTGAGGAGGAGTGTTGGCTTTGGCAGCAGCAGCTCCTGCCTTGCGTGAGGTGCAGCCTTTGCTGGGCGAGGGGCTGTCGAGGACAGGGAGTTTCTGCACAAACAAAAAGGCATAAAAACAAATAATTAATACCTAGATGCCAGAGAGGAACAAAAACCAGGTGTCAACACAACAGCCCTGTGGCAGTGCCTCTTTTCCAGCTCGGAAATCCAGCACTGAACTAGCTGGACACAAATCCTCAAATGCCTGACACAAACGTAAGAAATACCTGGACAAAGATCCTGCCATGTCTGACACAAACATCAGTGTTTAAGCAATAAAGCTGAATAAAGCTGAAGCTTTCAGCATTCACATCACCCCAGCAAAGGACACTGATGTTCTTCACACTGGTGTGTTTTAAAAAATGTGGTTTGATTTCTTTGGGGGTGGTTTGGGGTTCTTAACACACAGAGGTTTGTCAGTGAACCCCTCATTTTTACCCAGCTGGCTGATTCATCTGTCATTTAGACTGGCTGGGTGTCAGGAGCTGCTGCCCTCAGCCCAATGATTCTGGCAGTCCCCTGGAGAACAGGGACAAAACACAGCTCCAGTACCTTGAAACACCATAAACATCAGTTATTGTGATGCCTTTTAGTCATACACAAGGGACACAGAGTATCCATGTTTGGAGTAAAGTAAGAATAGCATTTACCCTATGAAGGGCTGGCTTGGATCCTGGCCCTACAACAGTGAATGGCAAAAAAATCCCCAACTAAACAACTCCACTCATATTTTTAAACTAAAATTTTAACAGGATTCTTTTTCCTAGGAGAGATATGAAGAAGTATCTTTGCTTATATTATTTTAAGACCTGTTGAATAAATCTACATGAACTTCAGTCAGTATATTTATCTGTATACTCAGTATATTTATTTTAGTCAGTATATTTATCTGATTAGAGTTTATATGATGGGAAAAGGGGAAATAAATGCCAATATTTAATGGCCAATATTTGTATTATATTATACAGGTATAATTTTATACAATATATAATATATATGTATAATGTATAATTTCTATATTTAATGGCCAATATTTACATTTAAGTATAATTTTATAATATATATTTATATTTTATATATGCATATTATGTGTATTTACATAATATCTGTATAATGTATAATTTCTCTATTTAATGACCAATATTTATCTATTAATATTATATATATGATTTTATACAACATATTTCTATCATACATGTACAATTCTATATTTAATGGCCACTATTTATCTCTATTACAGCATTTCTCTGACAAGGCCAATATTAACCCTCTCAGTTAACCCTTCCCAGCCCCAGGCTATGTGCAGCCCCCGTGCCTCACGTTTTCCAGCTCGGCTGCGCTGTCCTCCAGGGTCACCCTCCGGCTCAGGCAGCTCAGCAGCTGGTCCAGCACACACTGCTTGGGGTGCATGCCCTTGTCAAAGCGGTTGTACATCCCACACCAGAACCTCAAAACCAGGCAAAAAACAGCAGTTAGGGGCTCAGCTGGGCATTGTTGCCAACAAAGAGATGTTGGGTAATATTTTTAACAAACTGAGATTAGGAATTAATTTGAAAACCTGCCACAGCCTTTGGATTATTGAATTCAACGTCAATGGGCAACTTTTCTTCAAGTTAAAAACTCTGGCAGTAAATATTAGAATAGGATGAAAATACATTTCTTTTTTTTTTTTTATAGCAGATTTATTGGAAGCTTGGGCAGCTATCTTCCACTCCTTAGTTTGCCCTGATGCCTCAGGTTTTAGCTTTTCTATTTTTCAGATTCTGTGCTCCTTTAGTGTGTGGGTCTGGGTTCATATGAGGGGATGGTGAGCTCTGTGCACAGAGCAGGGAGACAAAACAATTCCTGCTCTAGCTGGGGACCAAGGACAAATGATCCAAATTCAGGCCCAAGAGCACAAACAACGTGGGCTGAAGAGAGAAAAACAAGGATGGGACTGCATGGGCTGGAGCTGGAATTGGAGTGCAATATGCAAATGGAGCAGAACTTATAAAAGTGACAGACCCCGTGAGCAGTCGTGCATTTTGTGCCCATTTTGGTTCATCTTGGGTGCAGCCCTGGCTGGGCTCTTGTGCTGCCCAAGGTGGATTCACTGAGGCCTTTAATAAATCCCTGCTTTATTCTTTAGCTCTGTCCAGTCTCTGTTCTAGGGCAGCCTGCACAAGGCATCAGCCCAACCTCCCAACTTTCATTTGCACACACAGCACTTACAATCTCATTTTCCTCTCCCTCTTTCTCAGCAGGGCCCAGGAGTGATGCAGAAACAAAGCCTGAGAAAAACCCTGAACTGAGCACCAAAATTCTTGCTTGAAAGACTTCCTTAATATACATTAAAAAGGAGGAAAAGAGGAACTGTTTCAAACACTTCAGTGTGACAGAGCAAGCAGACAAGGAGTGTGTGTGGGTCTGTCCTAAGTTCTGCTTTTCCTTGCCTTTCCCCACCCTCTTTTCTCAACACCAAATTACAAATATTATTTTAAATTACAGCACCTGAATTCATTTCACCTTTGCACTGCTCCTCTTAGTTTATGCCTGAGGAACAGAGGGGAAAGGTAAAACAAACCAAGCTAATCAGTGCAAATTCATTTAACATGAGTTAGTAATGACAAATATGTCCCCCTCCTTCCTCTTCTTAGCTGAGCCACTTACTGGAAACTGAAAGGTAGAGTGTTTGGTTGAAGCTCTTTGTAAGCTGTAAATCCTCTGTACAAAGGATTTCTCAACTCCTGCTTCCTCTGTAAGAGGAAAGGCCACAGGGAATGGGTCTTCTCAAAGATTCTGCCAAGTACAAAGAACATCTGATCACTAAAAAAAAGCAGCAAGTGGATTAGTAACTGCAGCTGTTGAGAGCAGAATTAGATTAAGGGAGCTAAGAATTGTTTTTATGCTGGATCTGATTGATTTCATAAGCACAGGATATTAAAATGGACACTCTCCTGTCCAGAAGGGATATCTGCAAGTTATTATTGTGCTCCAAACCAAACCACCTTTTTTGGGATATAATTCATATTCTTTTCTCACACTGGTTAGGGGTAACATCGCCTCGATAAATGGTTATATTCCACAATCTCCAATTCCATAAAACACACCCTGTTCCAGACATTCCACGGGATCTGTGGCCTGCTGGCTCCAGGAACCCCCAGCTCACCTGAGCTCCTCCCTCTCCCTGTGGCAGGTGCCCAGGAAGTTGCCAAACTGGCAGGAATAAACGTGGTCATGGATCTCCAGCAGGAAGCGCTCGCTGAACTCGAAGGAGCAGGGGAACTGCTGCATCAGCTGCCACACACACTCCACAAATTGTGTGAACACAGGGGACACCTCCTTGGGGTCCCCATCCAGGTGGCCACACCTACAGGTGCAAAAAGCAGAATAAATCTTCTGTCACCCACCACAAAATGTCCCCTTGCCATCAGTTTTCTTCCAGATCAGGTTTATGCTTTGATTTTGGGAAAGTTCTGAGAAAGTGGCAGAGATCCTCTCCCGGGTATGGCTGCAGGAGAATTCCAGGTCTGGCTGCAGCACTATGGATGACACAGAGTGGGGTCACCATCCCTAGAAGTGCTCAAGAGATGTGTGGATGTGGCACCTGGGGACAAGGGTTAGTGCTGGTGCTGGCTGAACTTCATGATCTTGGAAGTCTTTTCCAGCCTTCATGATTCTGTGATTCCACAATTAGCACTCCTCAAATAATAGAATTTTGCAGGTAGGAAAACACCCAGAATTCCAGCCATGATTTTGTAAAGCAATAAAAACACAGCGATGAAATAACAGCCTTAGAAGTCCCTGGCTCTGTGTCACCAGTGCCAATATTTTCCCAATGTTTTCTCCTTTTAATTTCAATTTTTCATGGGATCCCCTAAACCTGCAGACAGTTTTGGTTTCACTCCCCCCAGGGGAATGTGCCCCTCTCACCTGTGTGAGAACTTGTGGCCCATTGCAATCCACTCCTTTTCTATCAGGACCTGCAGGTTCAAAGCAGGGATTAAGAAAAGAGCATTAATTTGGTTAAAAAAGCAAAATGAAACCTTTTATGTTAAAGCCTCAAAAGCTGACAACCTGCTGCCCCTATTGCTATGAACATATCCCCAGAAATCAATGGGAACAGGAAATGTGATTTATAGGTTATCCAGTTACCAAGGCAATGGCCCTGCTGGAATCAGAACTCATTTCAAAACCACCATTTCGAGGGAGTTTCTAAGTTGTTAAAATCATAATATATAAATATATTGAGCTCAAAGAATTAACAGCTTAATATTACACTGTGCCATTTAATTTGGAAAAGAGTGTTGTAATATTCAGCAAAATAAAGCAGCAATTGAAGTTCAACAAATGTTTAACAGACAAAAAGAAATATATGAAGTACAGCTGTGTAATGAGGAGTTCAGGATGTAATCAGAACAACTATGTGGCACTTTTAAAATAGATGCCTGTAGTTACAGAAAATAGTAACTGTTATAATCTGTTTTCCTTACAGATAAATAAGATAAAATAATCTGTTTTAGAGATGTCTCACAAGGAACTACATGACTGAAGCTGCATCCATCATTATTTTGCTGGATCACATCTAAAGATAATTCCTGCTATCATCATCCAGATTAAGAGGAGGAAGCAGAAACTCACAACAGAGTTCTTAGAAAACTTCATTTAAATGGCTTTTTGAATTTTTCCATTCCTGCACTGCTGATGAATTCATTTAGGAATAAGCCTATGTCAGGGGACTTGTGCCTACAAACCATGAGGACAGACAGGGATGTGTCTGTCACTGCTCCTGCTCCTGAGTGAAATCCTGTTCTCAGTTCATGCAGGATTCTTCAGAGACAAAGCCCAGGCAGATGTTTAATATGCTCAGGGAATTTTAACTGTTAAAAGACTGCAGTATAACCCAGAAACAAAAATAGAAACAATAAAACCAGCATGGAATGCAAAGAAACAGTCCTAGCACTGGAAAAGGCAAAAATCTGCATTGTTCTGATTTCAGGGATTCCTTCAAGGAACTTTCCTGAGACAGAGCAGCTCTTCAGGTATTTAACCAGAGATGAATGGAAAGAAACATCACAGACTGCCCTGTGTTCATGCAGGGATGGCTGCAAATTAAGAAAAAAACTGCACTAGAAGCAAACAGCCAAATTAAAATGCAATGGCTTTTAAAAAAGTGTGAAATTATGCAGATTTGACTGATGAACAGGGGACAGGACTGAGTTCAGCCAATTTCAAATCCCAGCAGGTAAGAGACACACAGGACAAACTCCTCCAGCACTTTTTGGTGGATTGCTGCCAGAGCTGCATCCTTTGCTGAGATCTCTCATTAGTGGCTCCCATGTAGACATTGCAGGAAACAAGGATTTGGGAATTGTCAATCAGCTGCTGCCATGCTGCTCACAGCAATGCCAGCTCGTTACAGAACCAAAGCTGCTTTATGTAGGTCACCCATATTGTCCCAGGAAATGGCCTGAGCCCTTCCCCAGGGCCTGCTGGCACTGGAACTGCAGCATGTCCTTACCATGAAGCCTTTGAAGGTCCTGTAGAAGGGGTCCAGGAGGAGGCTGGCCAAGGAGCAGACCTGGGCCGTGCGGTCCCAGCCGTCGGAGCAGTGCACCAGCACGCTGGCCCTCTCCTCCCTCACAGCCTGCCAGGGACACAGCACAGAGCTCAGGGAAAGGCTGGCCCTCCCCTGCAGCACCCCAACACCCCGGGGGAGTGGTGGCCATCTCTCCTCTGGCCTGTGGAAATGCACATTCCATCAAGAGAAGCCCCAGCTAGAGCAAAGTGCTGCAGCAGGCTGGTAAAAAACAGCACTTGTGATCTCTGGAAGGCCAAGGATTCCCAGGCTCTTCCTCTGAGGAAAAGATTTGGTGGATGAGTAGAAAACAGTTGGACACCCAGGAATTAGAACTTCAAAATAAATTAGAAAAGTTGATGCCAACTTCCCCCTATCCCATCACCTTTTGCCACTTAGGGCAGGAGAGAAACCAAAGTTTCTCACTTGTGACGTGGGCAAATTGTGAGAGACAACCAACGTTTACTACTCACTCCTCTCACCACACACTTCCTGCACACCCTGTACTACTCCTGAGTGACTTCCCTCCTTCTGCCTGACCTGCAAAGCCACCAGCTCTGCAGAAAAGAGGACTATGTTGAATAATCAAAATTAGTGTCCACATCACAGCAAACCAGGAGAAAATAAACCAGTCAAAACAACCCCTCAATTCAAGCAGAGCAGTGGATGAATAATGAGCACAGGGTTAGGAATTGTTGCACTGCTATATAGAAAGGTTTATAAAGGTAATTTATTCACATTTTGTGATCTTATGAGAATGAGCTCTAATAAAACCCTGGTACAATACATGACACAGGACCTGTTTGCCCAGCAGCTGCACGACCCAACATTTTTGGAGAGATTAAACCAACCTGAACAACACCTTCTCCTCAGAGCCACCTTCCCAACCCTGCAGCAGTCCCCAGCACAGCAGGGGACATTTTGGAGAGCATTTACCTTGGCCAGGAAGACACCTGCATCCATCACAGCCTTGATGTGCCGTAACCAGCCCGAGTTCTCCAGCCCTGTCAGGAAATCGCTCATGGAGGGAGACTTCATCTCACACACTGGGAGCACACACAGAGAGTCAGAACAGCATCCCCTGCACCTCCTCATTATCCCCCTGACAATTTCAAGTGCTTGCAGCAATATCCTGTCTAAAGGACACACTAATGGTTGTGTATCTAAATTTCATAACTAAAAAATTGCTGGTTTTGTGAGAATTTCAGGCTCTGGAGATCTCCTCTCGCTCTTTGTTTAAAGGGTAACTCATTATTTATTCAGCTGTGGTTTTTCTAGCAGTGAGCTGGAACTTCACTTTTACATCACCATCACATCTACAACCACTCACTCACTTCCCAGAGATTTGAAGTTATTTCTCTCTAATTCAGAGACAGAAATAACAAATCTAACCTTGAAGGCAACTCAGCTGCTCTAATGAAATCCAGCACAGAAAACACTTGGAGTAATAAAGTTCAGAACAGTCCACAAGCCCCAGTGAATGAGATTTTATCACTGTTGGAGAAGAACATGGGAGCAAACAAGTTTTTACTCTGCCTCTGCTCCCACCATAAAATAAATCTGTCAGGAAGAGGCAACTGAGGACTCAGAGCTGTGATCAGGCCACTCTTTTGGGTGGGAACAGCCCCATTTGTGTCCAAGGTCACCATGGACCCTGCAGGGCCACCTGGGAGCACCAACTACCCAACTATTTTGAAAAAAATATAAGTATTGTGGCAGTTACTAAAATATTAAACTCCTATTTTGGAGTGCAGCACTTGAATTGCAAAACTGTCCAAAATTCTAACAATGAAACTCTGGGCCTCATTACCCTCTTGATCCCCAATCTCAGGTGACTCTTTTGCCCTGCTTTGCATTCCTGCCTGTGGTCACAATGAGCTTAATTACTTTGCATTTTCATATATTTAGATATTAAAACATTAATTTAATACATTTTAAAGGAGTTTGGTTAAAAGGAATCAGAAATAAATGAAAAGTTAGAACAAAGTATGTATGAGACTCAAGTCTTTGGAAGATCATGCATTTCAACTCAGAAATACTGTTAATACTCCAAATATAGCAAACCCCAAAAAGCATTGCTGAACAACTTCTGTTAGTTTTCCTTCACTAAGTCATGAAGCAACAATGAGACGGTCTTAGCTGTAAAATGTAATATTCTCTAACCTTTTTCTAATAATTTGGCACATTCATCAAGGAATGCTTTTAGTATTAGTTGCTATTTTTGAACCACTATAAAACCAAGCACAAGAACAAAGAAAATGTCAAGCAGGAAAGCATTTTAACAGCATTAATACTTTCAGTCCCTGAATGCAGCAAACAAAGCAAGATGCTGACATTGCTTCCATCAGAACATGTTTGTGCATGGAACATTTGGGTATTTGGCAGGAAGTTCTGTCCAGAGGGGTAAGAAAAACAAACCCCTCCCAGGGCTGTACCCACCTTCCAGCAGTTTCTGCAGGCTGCTCCTCATCACATGGATGTTCTCTATGCCAATGAATTTAAAACGAATGTTTTCATAATTATCTTCATTCTCATAGCCCTTCCCAGCAGCTCTGTTGGCCATGGCATTCAACTGGCAAATTCAAAGAGCAGAAGAGAAAAGAAAGAGAAAATCACAACAAAATTCAGAGAGGCTGTTTTGCAAGTCCCTTTTTTTGTTTGGTTTTCTTGTTGTTGTTGTTTGAATCTCCCAGAAAATGTACTGGACAAAGCTGTTACTCAGCTGTACAGTATAAACCCCCTGTTTCTGCCATCAGAGACACTAAACCTGCCCCAACTGAGTTGACCTAAGGAAATTCAGAGACAGGCACAGGAAAGCAGAATAAGGAAAGCCATTTTTAACATTTTTACATACAGGGTGGTATAGAAATAGTAAGGGAATTTCCAATTTTCACAGACATACATGTACAGAGGAAATTAAGCCACCTGAGGGAAACACAGAAACATTGAAGATGAGCAGAAAGAACAGAGCAACTGCAAGACAGAAGCAGAAAAGAAGCCAATTGCTCTAACATTCCCCAAACCAGTTCAAGAGCTGCCAGGGCATCTCTGGTGGGGACAGAAAACAGAGCAGCTCAACCCCCCTGATAATTTGGCAGCTTTTGGGAGAGAAGAGCCAGATATGGTGCAGACACCTTTAGAACTGTAAAATAACCCCAGTGCCTCAGTTCTGCCAGAGAGGGACAGGTTGGCTTAGAAGAAGTGTCACCAGTTCTCCCTTCTCCCCTTGCCACCAAATGCTTTAGCACATACTGCCACCAGTGATGGATTTCAGTGGCACATCTCTGCCACTGGCAGCTGTCTGCACCAGAAGAAATGCACATATCATGGCAGAACAGGGGATCTCTAGAGAATGTCACATTAAAATCCAAAATACACACTGGAGCAAGATGTGAAATACTCCCTGTTTTCCCCAAAAATACACTTTCTTTCTTGCCCTTGCCACAGTTTAACTAAACCTGTAGTTTATATAAAATAACTGCAAGATCTGAACAGTGAAGCAGGTTCTCAGAAAGCTCCATTTTCAAATAATAAGAGCAATTTAAATCTTTGCATTTAAATAATTGTATGCTATGAAAACCCTTGTGTTCTAATTGGCTTCTAACAAACTCCTAATCCATATGTTTACAGTAGAATCATTGGAATTGGGTTTCTAAATTGAGTTCCTCAAGATGACAGTCATTAAAATTTTAATTTTGCAAATACTTCCTTTCAAATAAACCCTCAGCTCTCAAGTTCTAGCCCCAAACAGTGGGGCTGAGTTGTATTAAGCTCCATCATGAGTCTTATTTTTAAAAGGAAAAAAAAAAAAAAAAAAAGGGGAGGGATTGCTATTCACAGCTCCACTTCCTCCCAGATCTGCCAGTAAAAGCACTTCAGCCTTGTGGAACTGAATCCTGAGGCTTCTCTCCAACTCCACTTCCAGTTCTCTCCTTTGTCCTTTAGGACTCTGCAGGAAAATGCTTCACTGTCCCAGCCAGGTGCACAACTGCCAGTTCCAACAGGTCATCCTGAACACAAACCCCAAACCCAGGATACTCCAGGAGGCAAAAATCCTTAGGATCAGCTTCACATTCCATTTGTACACCCTGAACCAGGAGCCCGATCCCACATTCCTCTGCAGGACCGACCCAGAACTGTGACAGAATGAACTGGAAACAGCACTGCACATTCACACAAGAGATTTAAAAGCAGCCCAGAGCCCATGGAGGTACCTTTGGCCTCGTGTCTACAACATACATGAAGGGGCAGCCGGGGTTGGCCTCTCGGATGGCCTGGAGCATCTGCTCGTCCTCCAGGCAGCGCGCGCTGAACCCGGCCAGGGGCTGGCTGCAGCGGCACAGGGCAGCCTGCAACACACACAGAGATCAGCCCTGCTCCCTCTGCCCTCCTCCTGCCCCAGAGCCCCCTGGGCTCACAGCCCCAGCCTCTCCTCCTGCCCCAGAGCCCGCTGGGCTCACAGCCCCAGCCTCTCCTCCTGCCCCAGAGCCCCCTGGGCTCACAGCCTCAGCCTCTCCTCCTGCCCCAGAGCCCCCTGGGCTCACAGCCTCAGCCTCTCCTCCTGCCCCACACCCCTCAGAGTCAGTTTAACTGTCCCCTGTGCTCCTTCTGAGGAGCTGCTGCTGTGGGGGACACACACTGGGCCATTTCACAAAGTGACAACTTTGGGGAACTTGGAGTAGTGAGGGTGAGGAGGCTCCACCTGCTCTGCCTGATGGTCACCACCCCAAACGTCAGTAGCTCATGGAATCCCAGAATGGCTGGGTGGAAAGGACCTTAAAAATATCCCATTGCACCCCCTGCAATGGGCAGGGACACCCTCCACTGTCCCCAGGTGCTCCAGCCTGGCCTTGGACACTTCCAGGGATCCAGGAGCAGCCACAGCTGCTCTGGGCACCCCGTGCCAGGGCCTGCCCACCCTCACAGGGAACAATTTCTTCCCAATATCCCATGTGACCCTGCCCTCTGGCAGTTTAAAAACATTCCCACTTGCCCTGTCACTATGTTCCCATATAAAAGCCCCTCTACCTCCTTTCCATGAGCCTCCTGAAAGTATTGTAAGGCAGCAATTTCTCATGCTTTCCATCTGGTTTCTATTTCCAAACCATTCTGAGTTTTTCTTATCAGTTGTTTCTGCACATTCAGAGCAGCACAGGGTGTATTTTAAGGAAATTTCATTAGTTTCCAGCACAACTCCAGGCAGTGCCTAGGTCAAGACATGCTTCCTCAGGAAAACAACAATTTGGCTGTGACTGAATTTTCCTAAGATCAGCATCTAAAACACTGCTGAGGCAGCAAAGTTATAAATTTACATTCTGGTCTTCAGTGGAAAAAAAATGAAACCTTCACTTATTCTGAACTAGTGGGGATTTATTTCAGGGTGGTTCCTCCTCTTCAATACTATGAAAATCCAGCCGAGTCAACACATAACTTGGTAAAACATTATTCAATATAACTAAAGAGGAGATTAAAAAACCCCACATCAGAAGGAATTGCTGAAAGCTGATTAAGAAAAAATTCCCAACAGGAAGCTTGGAAAGTCTGTGCTTTTGGCAGAGCTCTGGATGCATTCCAAGTGTTTGCCTTCAGCTCATTCTGTGACTCAGAATGAAAACCATTAAGAGAAGCACAGCTCTCAAAGGCCTCAAATCTAATAATTATCTTATTCTTTCCTTTCATTAGAAGGGAAGTGGACAAAAAGGAGAACCCTCATTGCCCCCAGGCAGCAGGCAGTGAAGCACTAACATTGTTTTCCTTGTACAAGTACGAAAGCACCGGAATCCGCCCTCGGCTCCTGAACCTTGAACTTCCCATCACCACGGCCCTGGTAGCAGCTCGAGGCACCACGATCTCAGGAGGGTATGTGCTGCAAACCTGAGGGGGGACAGAGAAAAAACCCAGATATTGCTCCTGAGCACTTTAAAATTCATGAAAAATTCATCTTTAGCTTACTAGGTTACGAGGAAAACAATGCAGGAACTATCAACTCTGCATCTGAACCTAAAAACTGGACTGCACAAAGCAGGTTTAAAGAAGTTCTTTAAATCCAGAAACGTGATGCAAGTTTCTAAATTACATTCACAAAACGGTTTGGGTTGGAAGGGATGTTAAAGCCATCCCACCCCTGCCATGGGCAGGGACACCTTCCACTGTCCCAGGGTACACCAATCCTCATCCAACCCGGCCTTGGACACTTCCAGGGATCCAGGGGCAGCCACAGCTTCTCTGGGAATTCTATTGCAGGGCCTGCCCACCCTCACAGCCAAGAATTCCTTTCCACAAAAGAGAAATTAACCCTAGTTTAAAAGTTCTCTCTAAATGTTATGCAACTGGAAAGGCACTTCCAGCACTCAGGTGGAATCCTCAAAGAGCAGCTTCATCCTTTCTCCTCAAACAAGCAGAGTATTTGCAGCATGGACTTCAAAGATAAGCTGCTCTCCAAGCCTGGCTTTACATCAGGCTTGACAACTCCAAAACACAAGCTGGAAACTGTGAGGAAACTCTAAAGCACCTGAGAGTTCCACTGCAGCAAGCAAAGCCTCTGAGTGATTACTGATTTGAGATGGCCACATCAGCTACTTCTCATATCAGAGCTCAATTCAGGCCCCCACAGGCAGAGGCAGGTAAAACTGGCAGCCACCTCTGACAGCACAGGCTTGTATTTCTTCAAGCCACAGCTTAAAGTAAAGAAAGTATCAGGGAAAGGGATTCAGAGTTATGAACACGTCGGTGTCTTCCTTGGAGCTGCTTGCCTTGCTTTTCAGTAGCCAGGTCTGACTGCACACAGCCCCAGAGAAAATAAAAAGGGAAATAATGTGGAGCAGGATTTTGAACGAGCTTGCTGACAAATGCTTTTGTTTCGTGTTGTTTAGATCCAAGTTGGCCTTTCTGGGAAAATAACAGCAGCAGGCAGCTCAGACTGGAATGACAGAGGGCCCTTAGGTAGCAGAAGATCCAACTGAGAAAGCAAAAAAGGCTCTGTTTTCCACTGCTGTTTTTCCCTCCCTTCCTTCCCTGGTCCCTCTCCACTCTGCCTCATTTCCCACCAATCCAAACCGCTGCCATTTCCTTCTCTCCTCCACATCTGTCACCAGCCAGGTGGGACAGGCTTTGGAAATACCAAAAGAAGCTCAGGGTACTTGAGGCTTTGCCTGACAGATGGGTTGACATTTCTGCAGAAAAACAAGGCTCTGCTCTCTTGTCAGGGGGATCAAACACAAGAAGGTGACTATCCTGGAGCATCATCATCTGCAACTCCCCGTCAAGATGATGTGCTTCGACTCAGAGCAAGCGAGCTCCTTCCTCCCCAGAGGCAGCAGCAGGGCTGTCATTAATGACACCAAGGAGACAGTGCATGGAATGGCTCCTCTGGGCAGGAGTTACCTCATAGTCCTTGTTAATATCCGTCATTTCCCAGGAGCCGTTGGGGATGCCCATACGCTGGTAATCCAGTTTCAAATCAATCAGTTTCCATCCCATCTCCCGGCTCTCTTTGGACATTTTAGGATTGTAAGAGAAAGCATAAAGTTCTTCGGGTTTCACTGGGAAGGAGAAAGAAAAACAGCAACGAGTTAGAGGTGCAAAGACATCCAGGGAGGCCAAAACTTCTAGAAATCAATGACTGAGTGCTACTAAGGAGTATTTGAAGTATTTAAGACTTCTCAACCTTTTATAGATTTTGGGTTTGGGATAGTACCAAGTGCTGAAATTCAGGAATTTCCACTACTCAGTTCCCAAATGCAGGGAGATAGATTAATTCTAACAAAGTGTTTTAGCCCAAGCTGGAAGAAGTAATTTTTCCTAAACGAATTATTTCCTCCTGAATTCACTGTAGCAAGCATGTTAGATGGGATTTATATCAAAACCATGAAGCCATACATGAAAACATGGACTAAAAGATCTGCTTTCTGTGGAGAGTTCATACAACAGCTCCTGCACACCTGTAAGGTCACTGCCCAGCAACAAATTCTGAGACTGGCAAACTTGAGGGATGTCTGGAATGTTGCTGCCAGCCCAATGAAGGCTGCAGGCTGGCTCTGACAAGTGCCCATTCACCATGCCAACCTCCTTCCCTCTCTTCACAAAATGCAAATCCAACCAATAACTCATCCAGCTGATTCCCAAGGCAGCTCCACAGACAGAGGGAAACCTGTCAGAGGCTGATAAAGCAACTGGGTACCAAGCAGGTAACCCAGAGCTGTCCATCACGTGTGTGCAAATAATCAGTAATGATGTGCTCTGCCAAAAATCCATGAAGGGAGCACACTCAGACATCTTAAAACAACAAAAATGTGCTGTTACAATCGAGAGGAGAGGAGAGGAGCGGAGAGGAGAGGAGAGGAGCGGAGAGGAGAGGAGAGGAGCGGAGAGGAGAGGAGAGGAGCGGAGAGGAGAGGAGAGGAGCGGAGAGGAGAGGAGAGGAGCGGAGAGGAGAGGAGAGGAGCGGAGAGGAGAGGAGAGGAGCGGAGAGGAGAGGAGAGGAGCGGAGAGGAGAGGAGAGGAGAGGAGAGCTACAGCATTTACACAGTTAAGTAGAGACCAAAGGAAACTGGTGTGAGCCCCTGCAGTGACACCTCCCATACTTCAGGCACTACCCAGACCTCTAATTTTCAAATGTCAAAGAGCAGTGATAGCTTTTAAATGTTAACACCACAAACCTGCCAGCTACAGCATCAGAGGCAGAACTTCAGAACTAAGAAAACTCCAAAGAGCACAAGGAGGTGCTGGGAATAGACACAGGCCTTAATATCAAATTAAAAAGACCATCTAAACTGGGCAAAGCCCATTTCCCCTACAGGATTTCCAGCCCAGCCCTGTGTGAAGGCCAGCAAGAAGCTGCCTGGTGCCATCAGTTCCCCTCCCTCAGCCTGGTGACACCATCACAAATTTCAACTACAAATGACATGCCTGTAATAACACAACTCCAAAATGGGTTCCAGCATCCCAAAAGCAGAGGCTGCCAGAGGCAGAAGCCAGGTAGGAGCTCAGTGGAATGCTGTCCTGCAAGAAAAGCATGAAGATTCATCCATGCTGGAATAAAAAGCTGGAGCTAGAAGAGAGCACAGGCTTTTGAAGGTGTCTGGCTCACACTGCAAGAGTGACTCCAAGTCAGGGCAGGGTGAAGCACAGGCTTCACTGAGCAAACACTGCAGAGCAGCCTAACCACACTGCTGGAAACACAGCCAAGATGCCAAATTGTGGAATTTGGGAATTCTGTGAATGCCTGGATCAGCTGGAAAGGGCAGAACTGCACACAGCCAACAGCTGAGTCACACAGGGGACTGACAGTGGCCAGGTTTGGGATATGAACTTTGCACAGCTCTCCAGAAGTTCCTCATGGGAGACCACGTCACTCCCACTGCCAGAGAGTGACAACATCACAGAGAGGTTTGGTTTGCAACAGCTCAACCAGTGCCACCCCTGGGACACCTTCCTCTGTCCCAGGCTGCCCCAAGCCCCAACCAACCTGACCTTGCAACTTCCAGGGATCCAGGGGCAGCCACAGCTTCTCAGGGCACCCTGTGCCAGGGCCTCACCACCCCCACAGGGAAGGATTCCTTCCCAATACCCCACCTAACCCTGCTCTCTCAGTGTGAATCCATACCCCGTTGTCCTGTCACTCCAGGCTCCTGTAAACAATCTCTCTCCATCTTTCTTGGCTCCCAAGACTGTGTTTAGTTTGGAAGCAAATGTCTCCTGCTGCACAGAACTCAGCTCCCTGAGACCTGCCATTGTCCCTGGTGCTGGAAGCTGATTCTGATCCCACTCCCTCCCTCCCTCCCAAACCCAAGTGTGGGGCAGCAGAGCTTTCCCATGGCTCAGTTTGGAGCATTCCAGAGATTCCCAGGAGAGATTCCCAACCCCAGCACCTGGCTGGGAGAGCTTGAGCAGGGAGGTGAACACATCGTGGCAGTCCCTCTCCTGGCCAATCACAAAGTGAGCCACGTGGAAGTTCTTGCAGTGGATGAGCAGGGGGTACCCAGCCGTGGTCAGGGGCAGCTTCTCCACGCTGGAGATGTGGTGGTGCAGGATCTGGAGAAAAGGGAATAAACATCATTTGTTACTGATAAAGCTGTGAGCAGTGCAAGCAGATAGGAAACCTTTGCAATACAATCAGCTGTTTACGCTTCCTGCAGCTAAGGAGCAGCAGGAAATGAGTTTATTTGTGACATCAAACATAAACTGCACCCAAAACCCAGGGAACTACAGCAGGACTGAAAAACTACAGATTTACATAAACTGCTTTCAGAGACAGATGTGCAGCTCAGTTTACCTCATGCATTTGCTTTCCTTCCACCTCCATATGAAATACATTCTGTCATTCCCATTTTACCTCAGAATTAACAAAACAGGCTCATTTCAGGCTAAATCTGCCCTTCTAAAAGCTGCAAATTCACGTTTAGTGGTCTTGTATATTGAGTTTTAAACAGGAAATTGCAGAAGTTTTTTACATTCCTTGAACTGACACTAATTCCACGAGTGAACTCTATCAAGTCACATCACCATTGTGCTCATTTCCTTCCAAACCAGCTGTTTCTGGGAAGCACTGGGTATCAAAATGCTCTAAAAGACCACTAGGGCTCTGGAATTGCCAAACCTGCTCATTCTGGAAATGAGAGCATTAAGTTCCAGGACAAGGGGGAATGGCTTCCCACTGGGAAGGGCAGGAATGGAGGGCAGGGATGGACGGGATATTGGGAAGGAATTGTTCCCGATTGGGAGGGTGGGCAGGCCCTGGATCCCTGGAAGTTCCAAGGCCAGGCTGGACAGGGCTGGGAGCAGCCTGGGACAGTGGAAGGTGTCCCTGCAGGGGTGAAATGGGATGATCCTTCAAGTCTCTCCCCATCCAATCCATCCTGTGACCTGAAGCAGCCTTCCCTGGCTTTCCCAGGTGTGTTTGCACCCAGCATACCCATGTTTCCTTCCTGACTTCAGCAGAGGCATCCACGTAGATCAGGTGTGTGGCTGTCAGGTACAGGGTCCCGCTTGCTGCCTTCCTGCTGGCGTAGCGATCCAGCAACTTCACATTTTCCACCTGCAGCAGGAACACAGCATGAGAACACCACAGAATCCCAGGACTGCTGAGGTTGGAAAAGCCCTCTGGGATCATGGAGTTCAGCCTGTGCCCAGTTCCCACCCTGTCACCCAGCACGCATCCAGGTGTTCCTTGGACACCCCAGGGATGGGGACTCCAAACCTCTCTGGCAGCCCTTTCCAAGGCCTGACCACCCTTTCCATGGGGAAATTCCTCCAAGTCCAGCTCTGATGGAAGCACTGCCTAAACACCTGTTGAGCTCTATTCTTTCAACTTCTAATACACAGCTCATGAAGCAAAACAGAAAACCACAAGATCTTAAGTCCCCCCTGCAACACCAAGCCAGCCTTACACCATAAACTCAAATTATTTCTCCATGAATTAAAGCCACAAAGGTTAAGCAAACAGCCGTGGTTCGGCACCAGCAAACCCTAACAGGATTACTGGATTTGTAGCCAAGATGATCCCAGTTTGTTACTGTGTGAGGCTGCAGGAATAACAAGACAAAGAACTGCAAAGAAAAGGTGTGCCTGTGCTCAGGGTGTTCAACGTGTTGCTCTGAAAGGAACAGCCCTCTCCAGTCTGACTTCCCACTGCTCATTCCCTGTCAGCAGCTACTTCTTGTAACTCACTTCCTGACCTCCAAGTGTATTTCATAAACCACACCAAGCTAATTAATAAAAAAACAGCTTTAAAGAACTCGGCACAGACATAATAAAATATGTTACAGCGCTGGATTGATTTTCTCCTGGCCTATTTGCTGCCTAATGAACGCAAATAAAATTTTTCTTTCGCCATTAAGCAGTAATAACAGGGAAAAAATTGGATGGACAATGAAGACAAATGTTTTAACAGTAAATGATGATTAGTTTTGGGTATTGAATGTGCAAGCCTCCTTATGTCTCCAGTACAAATGGAAAATCTCAGCAAATAAATTGGGGAGCTGAGGCCTGGGCTCGGTGCCCTCTTAGCAGGTCGTGCTTCTCAGCAGATATAACTATCAAATACAATATTGCCTTTTCAGGGCACTACAGACATGCAGCATCTCAGAGCAGGGGGTGACGAGCATCCCCAAACTAAAGTCCTACAGAATAAAACGAATAACAATAACCTTCACCGCAGTGAAGGATAAAATTAAATTATCAACTGCTGCCTGAATAAATGCAATCCCTTTTAGCACAGCATTCCCGGAGCTCCTGTTTGACTTGATTCAATGGGAAAAACAAACAAACAAACAAACAAAAAACACCAGAAAAAAAGCACCCTTTGGTTCCCTCCTTGGGACTGAGAGGAATCTCCGCGCTTTGACAGAAAGGAAACATTCCGGAATCGCCCCCAAACCACCTGGGGCTCTGCCCACCACCGCACCCCCTCCCCAGAGAGCGCCGGAGCCACCAACACCCGGGGACCGCGGCTGTGACCCCTCCCCAGCCGCAGCCGCTCGGGCCGTTCCGCGGCGGGGAGCGGGCCGGGGCCGCGGGCGGCGGCGTTACCTTGGGGGTGCTGATGTGCTCCATGGCCGCCCGGCCGCCATCAGGGCGCGCGCGCCCCGCCCCGGCCCGCCCGCCTCGCGAGAGCCGCGCGCCAGCGCCGCCATCTCGGCTGAGGGCAGCGCTGAGGGCAGCGCCCGCCCCGTGCCGTGCCCGGGGAGCAGGGAGTGTGCCCGGACAGTACGGGGTGCGCCCCGACCTGCTGCCCCGAGCCCTCGGGATGCGGCCGGAGCCCCCGCGCTGTGCTCAGAGCCGGTGGGATGTTCCCGGAGCCCCCGGGATGTGCCTGTTACTCGGGGATATGCCCGGAGCCCTCAGGGTGTCCCAGAGCCCCCTCATCCTCCTCTCCATCCTGCTGCAGTCCCACTCTCTCCCCGTGTCTTTTCCCTTCCCAGCACCGGCGATCGCGAAAGCTCTCGGGGGATATTTCGGGAAACAACAGCTTTTTTTCCCCCTCAAAGCGTGCGACCATCAGCTGTGCCGTCTGGATGGGCAGCAGGCTGACAGCATCTTCCCCTCGAGAAAGGCGTTGGAGGCACATTTGTCACTCGAACACTTGTCACACTTCCCACAGCTAGTAACACCTGCCCGTCCTGTTTGCCGTGTGTTTGAATTCCAGGCACGATGCTGTGTCTCGTGGGTGCCCAGCCCGAGGAGCTGCTGGAACTGCTGTTCACTCCTGCAATGAGTGTTGGTGTCTCGCAGCCCCGAGGGCAGCAGCCTCCAGGAGTTTGCTCCCAGCCAAACCTTGAATTGCCAAAAAATTCCCTTCAGGAGCCTCAGAATGTACCGGTTTTAAATGCTGGTGATCTTGTAGCTAGCCTGAAAATTTACTGGTTTTAATTTTTGGTGATCTTGTATCGAGCATGAGAATTGACAGCTTTTAATTACACCATAATCAGAATCCCACACTGGTTTGGGTTGGAAGGGACATTAAAACCCATCCAGTTCCAATCCCTGCCATGGGCTGGGACACCTTCCATGGCTGTTATTCAATATTCTCTAATTTCTACCGCTCGTACAAACCCACACAGCCTCAGTTCAAGGGAAGAAGAGACACGCGGGCTGTAATTCCCTGTCATTCCCGGTGCGGAGCAGCACAGGCTCCTCCTCTGCAATTAGTGGGGGCAGCGCTCGTTAATTAAGGCTTTGTGTTTGTGCTCCACACGATCCAAAGTAGTTTTTCCCCCGGTAGCTTCTCCTGGGGTTTGCAGAAGGATGAGGATTGTTTTTAAAGTTAATAATAAGCGGGGTGGGCATCACTTAGGGGATTTTGCAGCACTGCACAAAATGTACCTGTGGAATAGCAATGCAGCTTCCTCCTCTTCCCAAAGGAAAGTGCAAAAACAAGACAAAAATAAAAAATGAGGGAAGAAATAAGGATACAGAGATGAGAGGAACTGAAGGAACAGTTGCATTGCTCAGCCAGGCACTGCCATCCTCATAGCTTCTCCCCAAACTTGTGCCACAGGGATCAGTTTGAGCAAGAATCTCAGGGAATAAAGAGAGCTGACTTCTTCCAGGGAGCTTTTCCCAAGTCACAGATGGGTTGTGCCCATCTTCTGTCTGAAATCTGCATTTATTGAGCCTAAGGAGTGAGGAAAAGGGAGGTGTCAGAAGAAAATAAACAGAGAATAAGGCCATGGTGTGAAGCTTAAAAAATGCACTTTGAGTACATCTGAAGAAGCTGAACGTATAAAAACCCACGCAGATCAGAGAAAAATTGGACTTAAAAGGGGCTATTCCACCTCTCCACCAGCTGGAAGGGAAGGGAAGGGAAGGGAAGGGAAGGGAAGGGGAGGATGACAGAACTGGCACAGTGCAGGGCGTGTTCTGTACAAGGCCACCAAGGCAATGTCCCATCCTTGACTGAATTGCTGAGTACAGCCCACAGCATCTTCAGGATACCAATTTTTTGGTGTCATTTGAAGTCACGTTTATTCCAGATTTCCCTCTGTACTACAGGAATCTGTAACTCTTTTGGTCTTGCTCTGAGTTCCTTACATTGACATTGATTCTGCCATTCGCCCTCATGCTGGACAGGCTGGACATGCACAAAATTATTTGTGCTGTGAAAATTTAGAAAAGTGATTTTCTAAATTTATTTTGCAATTTGCAGATTAGTTTGAAGTTCCTCATCTTACAGGAATAAGTGAGCTAAATTGTAGCTCTGGTCTATTCCTCACCAAGCAATTCCTGTAATCTCATTTTTATTACTCGCTCCCCACCTAGGAAGTGTTTAACAGGCAGATAAAATCTAGCACAATAAATCCCTATCAACAAAACAGAGAAATCTTGTGTGATGCAGATGAAAATGACATTTTGGGGGGGGAGATATTTGGGAAAAGAACAATTTCTTGTGCTATTTTTACTGCGAGAAGGTGGGAGGGGGCATTACCAGACACCCACACTGAGTGGCAGTGGGGCTGTTGCAGAGCCTTGTCTACAAGTGTCATCAAGAGAATGCTGCCAAAAATACCCTGAGATGATGAGTTAAGATACAATTCCACCCCCAGCACCTGCCCAAACACTGGCTTCTGTAATTTGGGAAGTAGAGAGCTCAAGGAATGTGCAGGGGGTGCCAAGGCCAGCTGAAACACCAGCAGGAATTCAGCCTTTGGAGTTTGTTTTCCTTACTTGAGGGATAGTCAAGAAAGAGCTCTCTCAAAAAGAGCCGCAGCGAGAACAGATCCTGCCTATATTTTAGAATTTTGACTGTCACAAATAAATTGTGAAGTATCTTCCCAGAGAGGAGAAATAAACAAGGAGCTTAATCCAGGGAATATGAGGCTGCTGAGAGGAACGAAAGCAGAGCTGGACAGGGACTCCTGTGGACTTTTACCCTTGGGACTCTCCTTACCCCCAAGAGATTTTTAAGTGAGTTTTGCTCTCCTGAGCTGGTGTCAGGGCCCTTGTGAGGAACTGCACATCCCTATGTAAGCTGGGCTAGGGAAGGTGTCTCTGCCAGGGAGGGGCTGGGTGAGCTTTAAGGTCTCTCTCAACCCAAACCAGTCTGGGATTCTGGGATTATAATTACAGCCTGTGCTGTCAGACCTGAAATTATGCAACTAAAGGTTTTGAAAGTAGCTCATGGAAAATAATCTGTGCTGGTTTTTTCCACCTTTTCCTGCTGACATCCCTGGACAGTGATGATGTTGGTGCCAGGAGTCTGGGGCAGTGCACTGGTTGCTGGAGTTGGATTTCCATGCCATGAGATATCCATGGATCTCCTGGACCAAACACAATCAGCTCATCCCTTGTGCTGCTGAAGGAGTCCCACAGGTGCTGCCTCTGAGCTATCCTGCTGCACTAACACCAAGTTCCAGCCCCTGCTCTCCCTTTCAGAGGTTTTACAGCAGGCAGGGGCTGTGATTGCAGCAGCCCCGAGCACTCAGCATGCAGGGCCCATCCCTGTTCTCCTCTCAATTCCCTACAATCAGGTGGAGCAATCAGGTGTCCTGGGTATTTTTAGCCTCCCTGGTTGTGTTGCTCTGCCTTGGATTAATGACCTGCTCCCCACGCTGTGCTGGGGCTCTGGGACAGGCTCCCACCTTGCTCCCAGGCAGGAGATGGCATTAATTAAAGCATCACTTGCAGAGATGGAAAATCACTGAGGGGCTGTGAGAGAAGCAAAGGTTTGGTAGAGTTGGTTTTTTTCCCTTCACAGTTGCTGTGGCTGAATGGCTTTAATGGAAAGAAGATAAAATGTCATCTTAGTGGGTGTGATGGAATCACCTGACACTTGTGTCCTCTTCCAGCAGAGTCCAAGAAGGGAACTGAAGAACACAGAGTTTCACTGTCACTCTTGGGGCTGAACTGGGTGTATGAACAAACAGCTCACACAAGGAACTTCCTTCTCTGTTCCAGTGAATAGCCAGGAGCAGGTTGTGATGATTCAGTTTCAAAATGATTCTGCAAGATTCTTCTCATTTATTGTATTGCAATTTGAGCTGCACTTCTTGTTTTTAACAGTCTAATAATTCAGGGGCATGGTTTGTACCCCTGAATGGGAACAGCCTCCTGAGCATCCCAAGGCACACTCACAGAAATTCTCCTTGCTCTGAACCTGAGCAAATAGCCATCAGTCTGCCTTTCCCAACGAGACAGCTTCCTGAGAACTGCCTGCCATGAACATTCACAGACTGGGAGCAGGAGGGAGGGCTGAGCAAGGCCAGAGCAGATGTGTTTACAGCTTCAGACAAATCTCTGCAGCTCAGGCAGTGCAGCATGTCTGTCACTGCTGCAGAGCACAGCCCATCAGTCTCCAGCCCTCCTGCATCCCCCAGGACAGAGCTGCTCTCCTCAGCCCACTGCCAAGTGCCAAAGCTGTCTCCTGGAACTCTTCTTTACCAGCTCCCATTGCACACTGAGCTCCCAGCTGGATTTAAGCCTTGCATGGATGAATGAACCAATGACAGAGCTGGGAATTATTGTCTTCCCCTTGGCACTGTGCTGAATTTGGTGTCTTCTGCGTGCCATTGACACCTCAAAAAACCCCCAGATTTTGTTGAACCAGCTCTAGAGCAGAGCAGGTGCCCTGTGAGGGTCTGATCTTCCTCCAGTGCAAGACCTGATCTACAAACTCAAGTGATACAGTGCATTCCTGAGACTGAATGGAATTTCCTCTGTAATCCAAACATGTTCCAGGGTCTTAAACTCTTTGTTCCAGCACACAAAGCTCTGACCCAGTCAAGCTTGTTAGCAGTGGCAAATTTATTCCTAACTGCTTTTCTTTGATGCAATGGAGTTTTCTTTTTTTCCAGACAGGCATCAATCCCTAGTGACAAAGGATGGATTATCTGCCTCTCAGCAAGACATCGAAACCTATCCCAGGGAATTCGAAACCTATCCCAGGGAATTCGGATGTGGGCTCCGGAGAGCTGTAGAAAACATGCCAAGAACTGCATCACCCAGGAAGGAGAGCAGTATGGGACTGAAATGCCACATGGTTTTAGGGTGTTCATGGCATCTGCAGAGCTGAGCTGGTGTTTGGCAAGTGCCAGAGGGATGGAATTCAGGATTGGAGCCAAATTCCAGCTTTACTTGGC